TATATATATTTAACCTATCTAGGAATTTTCCCTTTCCTTCCATGTATAAACCTTTCTTTTACTTCTTACAATAGTGGACTAATACAGTATTTGTCCCTCTATGATTAAATTATTTCACTCAGTGTAATGTCCTTTAAGTTCATCTACATTATGTAGTGAGAGTGTCAAACATTTTTAAGTGCCCAGTATATGCTAGGTACTCTATCAGAGGTTGTTTTTGTTGTTATTTGCTGTCGAGTTGGACCTGACTCATAGTGACCCCTCCTTGGGTTTCCGAAGCAGTATCACGATGGAAGTAGATTGCCCCATCTTTCTTCCAAGGAGTGGCTAGTGGGTTTGAACCTCCAGCCTTCTGGTTAGCAGTCAAGTGCCTTAGACACTATGCTACCAGAGTTCCCCTATCAGAGGTAACACCTTCATTAAGAAAGGGTTTTCTTGGTGAGTAAACCCAAACCAAACTCACCGCAGTTGAGTTGGATCCAACTCATAGCAACCCCTTCTTGGATTTCTGGGGTGGTATCACTACAGAAGTAGATTTAACTTCTTTCTCTCCCTTCTCTTTCCTCCTGTTCCTCCTCCTTTTCTCTTTTCTCCTTCTTCAAGAAACCCATCACTATATTAATTAAGGAACAAAACAAAACAGAACAACAAAACCTTACCTTGGGGATTTCAAATTCAGGACTATTGACAGGGCCAGCATAGTAAAACTGTTCTGAAAAAATATAAAACATAGATAAATTTATTCATCATTTAAAACAAAAATAAATTGATTTGCTCATATTATCTGTGGTTACTGTGCAACGGTTGTTCAAACTAAATAATAGTCATTTATATATTTTTTTCATTACTTGATTGCAAACTATCATTCATTCAACAAATATTTGTTGAGCACCTACTGTGTGACAGTCACTGTAGTTCCAGAGATGAAGAAAAAGGGCCTCTGCCCACACATTGCATATATTTTAATGGGAAAACTGATAATATTTAATTAAACAAGAAAATTACAGATTGTGAAAAGTGTTAGAAGGAGTCATGTAGGTAATGAGAGAGAGGTAGGATGGTGTGATGTTCAGGTCTAGGCTGGAGGCAGGATGCCTGGTGTTAAATCTTGGGACCACCTCCTATAGTTATAGAGGATTTTATATAGTTGTTATTCCTCTCTGCACTCAGTCTCCTCTTTTGAAAAATGGGTATGATAATGACAATAATAGTGTCTATCTCATAGTGTTGTGAGGAATTAAAAGAGTTAACAAATGTAAAGCACAGATAGCAATTCATGGAAAGCACTAAATGAATATCTGATAACATTACCAACTGGAAGATAACATGTTTGGTAAGATGGTCAGGAAAGGCATCTCTAAAGAGTGATGTTTGGGTTAAACCCTAAAGGAGGACACTGAGTCAATGATTTAAAGAGCTAGGACAAGAGCACTTCAGGGAAAGAGACTGTGGACAAAAACCCTGTTCTGGAAAAGAAGTTTCCAGAGTTGTAAGAACAGAGGGAGAGTATTTTGCTGAAGCATAGTGAATAAGAGGGACAGTGTTGAGGTGAGGTTGGAAAGACTAATGAGGGACAGATAGGTTAGGAACTTGAGGACATGGTAAGGAGTTTGGATTTCATTTTTCAAAGGCACTAGAGAAGATGTTAAAATGTCAAATGAAAATATCTAATGTATGTTTTAAAGTAATCATTCTGATGTGTGGAGAATGGAGTGGAGAGGCCAAAAGTGAAGGCAATTGCAGTAGCCATAGTGAGTAATGGATTGGTGAAGTGTGGTTGATGGAGATGGAGAAAAATGAATGGAATCATGATTATTTTTAGAAATAGGACTTGCTGATGTGTTGGATATGGAGAGCGAAGGAAGAAGAATGTTTAGCTTGAGCATCTGGGTAGATGGGGTGCATTTATTGGGATGAGGGAATCTGGGGAGTAAGAAGTATTTGTACATGTATTGTGATTAAAGAGCTCTATTTTGGGGAGGGGAGCTCTGGTGGCATAGTGCCTAACACATATGACTGCTAACCAGAAGGCTGGCAGTTCAAATCCACCAGCCACTCCTCAGAAGGAAGACTGGGTAATCTACTTCCATAGAAATTTTGGGGAGATGCTTATTAAGGGCCCTTCAAAGCAATTAGATACACAAAGCTGGAAATATAGGAAGAAGTCAGGGAGGAGCTCTGACTTCTGGAGTCATTACCATGTAAATGGTGATAAATCTCTGGGACTGGATGACATCACCTAAGGAACTAGACTAGATAGAGAAGAGGAGAGGACCAGGAGGCCTCCTAATATTTAGAGGTTGGGTAGAGAAGGAGATGCTAGCAAAGGAGGCTATGCAGAAATGGCATGTGGACTAAAGAGTGATTAGAGAGTGGGATCACAGATGCCAGAAGTGTGTTTTTAAAAAAGGAGGGGATGATCAACTGTGAGAGTTTGAGTAAGGTTAGGGTGGAAACATGCAGTGGATTTGGTAACATGGAGGACATTTATGCCCTTGACAAGAGCACTGGGGAAGTGGGATGAATACCTTAATGGAGTAGGTTGAAGGTGAAGAAGGAAGAAAGTTTTGCTGTAGAGGGAAGCAGGGGAGGAAAAACAAAACAAAACAAAACAAGAAGAACTCAAAGAAGATATGGGGTTAAGAATTGTTTGTTTATTTAAGATAGAAGATATTTGCATTTTGAAGGTGATGATTTTGTGTAAAGAGAGAGATTGAAGATGCAAAAAAGAGAGGATAATTGAAGTAACTAAGTGATTAAGAGGATGAAGAGGAGGGATCTACATTTGAAGGGAAGACAGCCATTGTTCCTATAGGTTCAGGAGAGAAAATAGAGCAGAATGGTTCGGATGGAGGTCGATCTGTAGATTGGTCAATGAACCAATAGCAGGACTCCAGTCTGATTGTTTCTGTTTTCTCAGTGAAGTAGAGACTAGGTCAGGGCAGAAGAGTAAAGAAAGGTGGAGGCTGAGGGTTTCTGGTGGATTGAGGAGCTAGGTGAACGTATAAATAGTCATCATGGAGAGTGGGGAAGAAATGTACTAGAGAGACATTGTAAGACTGTCAGTGTTGAGTGCTTTTGTTTGTTTGTTTGTTTTTTAGATTATTTTTTAGGTGGTTATGAATTTAAACACACTCCACTCATCCTAATGTAGATTTTCTAAGCAAAATTCACTAGCTCTGATGCAAGAATAGAGAGAGTAGATGATTGGGCTGGAGTTCTGCTGGATAAAAATGATAGAGGGAAAAACAAAACTTTGAGGATGTATGCAAGGAAAAGACTCTAATAACAGACCCTTGAATCTACAGAAGGTAAGAAAGAAAATGAAAGCAGAAGGAGTGATTTGTAGTTAAAACAGTGGTGAGGTTGGTTGAATGGAGTCTCCATTGCTACAATGAATTATTGCAAAAACAAGTCCTAGAATAGGTAAGCTGGAAGGATTTGATGACACTGAAATTTCAGAAATGGTGTAGTTACTAGTGATGACAACATCCAGAGTCGACATGGGAGAGGATGGTTGGGGCAGCATAATGGAAATGGTCGTTGGACATGTGGAGGTGAAGGAACTGAGCAGAATGGAGTCCCTAGTGGAGGTAGAAACAGTAATTATTAGTTTAATTATTATTTACCAGGATATCTTGACTGCTAACCAGGAGGCTGGCAGTTCAAATCCACCAGCCACTCCTCGGAAGGAAGGTTGGGCAATCCTACTTCCATAGTGATAACTGCCTTGGAAACCCAAGGAGGGGTCGCTAGGAGTCGGGACCGACTAGATGGCAAATAACAACAACAACATACAGAAGAATAATGCAGTGAAGACTACATGGTGGATGCTGAGGTACACAGAGAAAATAGTTTTGCAATGTTTTTGCTGAGCCAAGGTAAACAACTGCTAAGTTCTATTAGTGGCCTCCCACCTTTCTTTCTTTTTTTTTTTTTTAATTTCTGTTTCAAAAAATGAAGTATGGCACTTTGAAGAACATCATTTGGATGTTTAACATTTTGTTATGCTCATTTAATGCTCTAAGATTTGCTAATTTGTGCTCTGCACTATTAACAGGTTCTTTCCTGGGGTGAGAGATTTTCATTAAATAGGTCTCTTACACTTTACAGTTTCAACGGGAGCTTTTGCAGGGCCCATGAAGTTCCTGAGAACTGTTTCAGGTTACTCAGAAACTGGCTTCTTTTTTTTTCACCCGATGACACAACACCTAAAATTAATTTTTCACTCCTTCTTTTCTCAGATCCTCCCTGCTTCTGAGATTCCTTTAATTAACATTTTCACACTCTGGGACTATAAAAAGAGTCCCACTATATTTGCACCCACTTCTTCCTTCACTTCATTTGAAAGCTTTATTAATGTTTAATGTGTGGTGGGTTAAAGAAATATACCTTCCTGGTTCTAAACACATGAAGTTGTTTATGGTAAATTGACAATTTTGAACCCATATCTTTGTGTGTTTGGCACATTGTGTCTTTCTAGAGAAGACATTATACATTTTTTAAAATTTTTATTATGATTTGGGTGAAAGTATACAGAGTAAATTCACTTTCCATATAGCAGCTCACATATACTTTGTCTCATGACATTGACTGTAATTTCCCACAATGCAACAGCTCCCCTCCCACTTCCTCTCCAGTTACCTCTTCCCTGTGTTCCTCAGTCCCATGCACTCCCACCCCCACCAGCTGTCTCCCAGCACATACACAGCCCTTCCGTTCTCTCATGATTGATCTCTCCAAGGAATGTATCTACTTAATGTAAATGTTCAACTCATATGCCTGTCTTTTGTTTAGCTGGAAGCCACAGGACTGGGTTCAATTCCAGATCTGAAGGGCAGTTAGGAGCCATAGTCTCAGTGGTTTCGTCAGACTCTATTAGACCAGCAAACCTGGTCTCTCTTTTTTTTTTAAGTTATTGTGAGTTTTGTTCCACATTGTTCTCCCATTTTATCCAGATCTTCTACATAGATCTCCCTCTGAGTGGTTGACAGTGGTAGTCAGGCACCATCTAGTTCTGGTCTCATAGTCATATAGGCTGAAGATTGCATGGTGTACCATCCCTTGTACTAATTGTTTCCATGTGTCATTGGTTTTCCTCATTCTTCTTTGCTCTGGATGAGGAGAGACACATCATTGCATCCAGAGGGTCGCTTGCAAGCTTTTAAGATCCCAGTCAATGGATGTGGTACAATGTTTTTGTGTAGTGTATTATGCCAATTAAGGTTGATGGCCCCTGTGACTATAGTCTTGAGCCCATTTCCAACTACTCACTCCCTCTGGGTAGCTAGCTGTGGCCAAGAAGTGACTACAAACTTGTCCCTTGTTGGCTCTACTATATACCTGGACATTCTTTTTT